GGGCCTGGTGCTGGGTGAGCGCGTTTGGGTCCCGGAGAAGGCAGGAGCTGGCGGGGGTTCCCCATCTCCCGGCTGCTGAGCCCGCTGGGTCTCGGGTATTCAGGCTCTCTTCCCCTCGGAGGACCTGTACGGCGCACGCCTTTACCTACCATCTTAAGGAAAGCCCTGTTTGTAGAATACACGTGAAGCCTTGGATTGCTGAGCCTGTAAGGGGCCAAAACCAGAAGGCAATGCCTTTGCTCAGAGCTCCAAGCTTTTTCTGAGTCAGCACTGTATCCAAAAGATCTTCCTTTTGGCATCTGGCATTTCTTCAGGAACGAGTTTCCAGTCCGTCTGCTCATGCTTCTTTTTAAAGCTCCAGTACAGCTCTTTGGATCGACTGTGAGCTCCAAACTGGACCTCTTACAGCTTTCAGAGGAACATCGCCTCATGGTGAGGCGACAGAAACCCTGTTTGGGGCCTCCATTCATTTTTCTGCAGCCCTGACCTGATGCAGCTGTCTGGTTTTTGAAAGATCTGGGTGGATACCCAAGGACTGTTGGGAGTCTAGATACAGGTCTAGATATATTTCCTTGGTGGCCCTGGCAGCGTCCCTTTCCTGAGCACCAGCCTGTGCTAAAAATGCGCTGCCATTTGAGCCTTCTGGGTTAGGGTGACCGCTCCTGGCTCCTTAGGGGCTGCCGCTCTGTTGTCTACCCTGGGGTGGGGCTGAGCTTGCTCCCCATGGGTAGATGTTGGTTCCACAAGGAAGCTTGGATGCCAGGTTTACGCTGTAGAGCTGCTACTCTAGGTGGAATGGATGCCATGGGCTGAAGGCACCAGGGTCTTCAAACTACAAAAGCAGCAAGACAGTCTTAGAAACTATCTATCATTGTTTGAATAAACAGAACCACACCTGAAAAAAGTCTATTGATAGCATCTCTGGGAGCAGACTATTCTCCTTCCCCTGCATAGCGTTTCTTCTATCTCACCTTTAACTGGAACATATTGTAGCCATCATTCCTCTTTTTACTATTTATCGCTTGTCAGAAAAAATCAGTAAGTGAGCATTGTTACTGCCGATCCAAAAGATTTAACAGCTAATATTGCTCTGAGGCCATGGATGAAACAAGGTCAGTTCAAGAAAACTCTGGCAGTAAAAACTGCTGAACTGCTGTGGACTTTCTTATTTTTATTTTTTTTTTTGCACAGTTTAATCTGCTCCCATTATCAGCCAGGCTCAGGGTGATGGGAATTCCATGAATGTTGTGATATTATTTTAATTTTCTACTCTGTGTTGTCTTAGATCATAGAATAGAATGAGCTTCTCTGCATTTGTCTTGCAGATCTCTCTGCAGGCTGGGAAGAATAGCAGCGAGGGGCAGGCCCCGTGCAGCTACAGGTGCAGGAGTGGGTGCATCAGCTGGTTATGTGTGGAGGGGAGAGATAACGTGGTGGTGGGGTGAGCTGAACGGAAGAATACACACAAGTTTGAAGTGGCTGCCAAGTGAGATTTAGCAGAGCTGTTCACCTGAATCCTGCTGTGCTGATGAGCGCAGCATTCAGAGAAGACAAAGCCAAGCATCACGTAGAAACGTGTTCATTAAAAAAATTTTCAGGAAATTCTAGATTTTTGTCAGGCCTGATTTTGAGGTAATTATCCACTGGAACAAACACCTACAACCCCTACTTCCCCATGGTGACAAACGCATGCCCAGGGAAGAGCTTTTCATGGCTAACATTGCTGCACTCCAGCCCCTGGTCTCCACTGAGAAGCATCTGCTGCCCTTTCCTAGATGAGGGTACTGCGTGAGTGCCTTTCCTAGCTGGGATGCCAGCCTTTGGCCATTGCAGCAGCAGGTCGGGGACATGCTGGGACAGCGCTCTGGGCCTCAGCTCTGGCCAAATGTGCAATGTAGGCAGTGCTGTGCACCCACTACCTCTGATAACCAGCAGACAAATGTAAGGACAAGCACTCCCACCTTGCTGCAGAACAGCCAAGCAGAGAGGGTCAAACTGGCAAAGGGGGAAGGGTTTAAACATTCAGCGCATGGCAGATGCTTTCCAAGGAGACAGAGGAGAGGTATTCAGAGCAGGGTTATTCACTCTGTGGCAGGAGACAGCTGATATTCTCACCTCTACCTTGTGGAGAACATCTACGGTTAAGCCACATGAAGGGCACCAGCCAAATCTCGCCATAGAAACTGCTGTGGTGGGTGAAGGCTGTGCTACAGTGTGTTACTATCATGACGTTATCACAGTATGGCACTGCCCTTTTGAGACTCGTGAAGGCCCCTGTAAATAATAGTGGGAAAACACCCTTTGGGAGCACTCAAATATTATTACCCCCATTTCACAAAGATTCAGAGAATTTAAAGCCACCACAGTGCATGTTTAGGTGTAGAAATTTATGTGTCCATATAGTAAATTAGCCCATCTGCAGAGATTCTGAATACTTCCTACCCCCAATAAACCCAGCACATAAGCTAACCCCAGAACATAGCCATAGGTCTGGGGAACAGAGGTATTTCAGAAAGCCAGAAGCCTGTTTGCTTCTTGGTGGGGAGGATTTGGAGGAAGAGCAAGCTGTGTGATTATACGAACACGAGGATGGTCCTTGCATTTTTGCTAACATATAGTCATGGTCGGGACTCAGCAATTTTATTGTTTGTAAAAATACATATTGTGTACATAGAAATACTGCAAAAGAAAACTGAACATAAAACATCACAATATTATTTTGTGCAACACTCTCTAGCTAATAAATATTACAAATATAAATATAATCTCAGAAAAATTACCTAGCGGAGCAATATTGCTGCTACTTAATAGCAACCTCCTCAACCTCGACAGACCCCTGGTTCCTCCCAGGGTGGAGGGGGCAGCAAGCCAGAAGCTGAATTTTGTGAGCCTGCAGATACCCCCGCCACAGAGTGTCTGTGCTCAGGGAGGAATCGTTCCAGAGTATCCTGTGGTTGTACGGATTGTCCAAGTGCAACTGAGAGGGGGAGAAAGTAGGGTTATGGCCAGCTGTCCTCAAATTTAGCTGTAGATGTGCAGTTTATCATGGTTAGGGCTACTGAAAACTTCACTGGCTAAATGCCAGATTTCGCATCACCAGAATGTGACACTTGGACTAAAGGGTGAAGAGGGACAAAGAGAAACTTAGCTTAAATTCACTGTAGGCAAAAATCCAAAATCTGTTTATAGGTGCTCATATTCCACATATTGGTTCAGACTACCAAGAGATTTTGGCAGGAGTCCTGGTTTGAAGGTAGCACTCTGATCCTGCATTTAGGATTGACAACCTCTGGTCTGAATGTTAGGATTCTCCTTGCCTGGGAGAGTCGTTCTGCATGGTATTTGTAGGAGTAAACCAAAGAAAATACTGTGGAATCCAAGCAAAGTGGGAAGATGTGTAAGGCAGGGGCTAATGCCTTGCCTGTATCCATATACCTGAAAAGATATTCTGGCTCCTAAAAGCTACCCTAGAACCATGGGCCTGAAAAATACCAAAAGTTAAGCCTCCTTCTGTGAAGAAATGGTTTGACATGGGATATGTGAGATCATGGGATTACATTATTTCCTTGTTCCATTTTTGTTGGCAAACATTTGAACCTGACTTCTGTAATGACAAGAGACATTGCTGCTGGAAGTTTGCACCTCAGAGTTTTTGTAAACTGCTGCCACATAAGGTTTACCCATGTTCTCACTTGCCCAAACAGAGAAGCATCAAAAAAATACTGCATATATGCACATATCGTGTGTGAGTCCTCTTGACTTCTCTAGTTATTGTTAATGCTAAGCAGAAAGTCCTGATCTTATTTACAAATTCTGCAGGACACTAACACCCACACTGTCGATTTTGAGGTCAGTTATGTCAAAACAATGTCTCTGTCTTGTGGTGAAAAAGTAGATTTTCACTAAAGTACCAGGAGATGAATTTTTTTTAAACCTTCTTCTGCCATCACCACATAATGTGGAACTCCTTGTGGAGCACGCACCCAGGCAGTCCATTCGCATAGGACTTTTTCTTCCATCAGTCCCTACAGGATTCACCAGTTTGTTCACAGAAGAGATGGAAAAGTCCTTACTTGTGATGACTCAGTTACTCTTCAAAGTAGGAGAAAACTCTTCTCGTTATTGCTGGTGCACCGAGTACATAACCTGCGTGTTTTCTCCTCCTGGCTACCCTTCTGAGCTCTCCGTCTCCTTCCTTCCAAACACACAAGTTCAGGAGAAGGTTCCTGTGCCTTTCACAGATAATTGGGTCCTGGGATCCTGTCTTGTCCTGGCCTGGGGACACATAGCACTCTGCACTGCTCAGTCCTCCGTATTCAGTTCAAAGAAATTGGATGGAGATCACATATTTATCTTCTGATTCAGAAAGACTGAAGAAAAAACTCATACAAACTTTCAGCGTTGAGTTCCCCGCCTCCAAGAATGTCTCCATTTGCATCAGAGAGTCCCATTTTCCCTCTCACTATACAGTCAAATTTGAGAGAATTTCAAGACTCTTCCACATGTTGCTTTTTCTCTTCCTTCCTCACAAACTCGCGTGCACATGCAGACACCTCATCAGCTTACCAGGAACAAGAATCCTGTTCCTGGTATGCCACAGTTTCAGAGAAAATCATGCAAACAGGGAACAAAACCACCTTGAACTATCACCATCAGAAGTGCAGTCACTAAATCCAGCCTGTTCCCCTGTGTCCCAGGCTTATTCCTGTTCAGAGCTTGCAGGTCCAGCCCACTCTGAATTAGAGCGCCACGGAAATGTCTAAACATTCCTCCTTAGTCAAAGACAGGTTTGGTTTTTTTTCCCAGGGAAGACCTTAATTTGGGAGTTCACAGAACTGGAATGGCAATATCAGATCTCTTAGTTTTCAGGCTGTACCTTCAGGAGAAATACACTTGCTGGATTGTGTGGTTCAGGACTGTGCTCAATTGCTGGTTCTGCTTGTAAGCTGCAAACCACGTTCTTGACCAAACCAGAGCCTGTGTAGGCTCTGGAAGGCCTGGGGATATCTTGTCTGTCTGGAAGTACCAGCCTCTGTCCTCTCCTTCTCCCCAGGCATATGGCAAATGTCTATGTTGAGATGATTCCTGTTAATGCTTTGTGTGGGGAAAATCCAGCCATCTGCCCTCTTGGGACTCTCTTAGCTTCGCTTAGTGGCTGGTGTCAGGATTACAGATCAAATTCAGAGATTTCACTCAGGTGATACAACAGAACAGAAAAGGACGGCCGGTCATCTTTCCTCTGAGCAGGGGAGAGAAGAGAGAGGGAGAACATTAGTGTCAGCTTGAGAGGAATGGCAAGGTTAGGAAGGAAAACCTTGTGAAGAAACTGAGTATTAACAAAAATACAATCTATTGTTATAGAGAAAATGCCGATGGAAGAATGAGCTTCCTTCTTTGCAATGTTTCTTTTCTACTAGCAGTGAATTTTGCCCAGTGGACACTAAGTACCTTGCAATGGGTTGGCAGTCATTTTTACCGTCACTATTAAAACTCAGCCCCACAGATCCATGTCTTTCTTAGGAAGCAAACTGCTGAATTAACTTGAGTTAGGTGCACTACATAGACTTCTTGGTGAAGTCAACACACTCTACAGAAACAGCAGCTTGAATAAAAGGCAAAGAGCCTAGAGTTTGCTTGCTAGGGCAGATGAAAGCTACAGAGTGCTTCACCTCCAAGATTTTATCTTATGTTAGCATGTGAAGTGTGTACCTCTCTCTCCTCCTAAAAGCCAAGGGGAAGAGTGTTCTTGTCTTCGGGAACTCGGGCTTTCCCATCACAATACTTACCATCCTCCAGCAGTGGCTCATGACCTCATAAATCGCCTTGGAGGCCAGCTTGGGTTTGTAGAGCCGAAATCCTGCATTGATTTCTTCCACCACTTCTCCATTGGTGCGATTCTCATAGGGCATTTTACCTTCACTGAAGACCTCCCACATCAGCACTCCTAAGGCAAAAAAATGAGAAAAGATCACAAAGAAGCAAATTAAATCCTCAGCAGGCCCACGGCCACCTCCCACCTGCTCTGCAGCTCAACATGGTGGCTATGACTTGGAAAAAGCAGTTTCACTCGGATTCTCAGTACACATCTGAAAAATCAGGCCCTAACACAGCTGTGCAGGCTGAGGATGCCAGCTAGGATCTCTGCTGGGCACTGGGCTGTGTGGAAGTACCAGTTTGGTCACTGTAAGTCTGACTTCTCTGCAGCCTACTTCGTGATAGTCTAGCACGACAGGGATGTCTTTCCCCATGAGCCAGATGAGGACTAAGCATGTTCTGTGTTGGAAAGCAGAGTAGTGTTGTATGTCTTCTCCCAGACTGAGAAGAGGAGGGAATGTTTGTGCATGTACTCCATCCAGATTCAGTTCATCTACTTTTGCTTCCAGTTAATCACATACAAGTCATGTCACTGATGTTCCTGCCTGCAGGGTGTCCTGCACCAGGATCTGCTTGTATTTTGGTGAGACTCAGGAGCAAGAAAGCAATATGAACTGCTCCATTCCTGTCAGTCAGCTTAGCCTCAGAACTGGGAGCTCCTCACCCGCAAAACATCCCAGGTGGTGTGATTCACTGGGATGAATCCGCATGCAACGGCAGCAGAATTTCAAAGGACTGCAGCATATTTTTCCTCTTTTCCTAAACAGTCCAATGTTTTCCTATGATTACTGTTCAGAGCAGTACAGAAACTTGTGCTTTGCTAGTGTGGTGGAAGAGGGACAGGCAAAGACAAAACGACTGTGGAATACGTTGTGGTTGGCCGCCAGATCAGAGAGGCTCTGCAAATGGAGTGAATGCAAGGCTTCTGTGTTATTATTCGGTTTAATTTCTTTTGTCACCTAGTATGACTGACTTGGTAAACTGTGTTCACGTTGTATTAGAAAAGGGAAACAAACAGACAGACTGATCTGAAATAAAGTTGTGTAACTCCACAGTCAACTTTGCTAAATAATGCCTGCTTTCCAGCTTTGAATTCTTCAAATAGGAAGATGCATAGAGATTGCAGCTCCTCAGCAATGACACTGGCTCTTCTGAAGGATAAGGAAAGCAGTTGTACTCCCACAGTGTGCAGATTCCTGCACTGGGAATTTCTCACACCCATTTTGTTCTCGGGGGCACAGCAGGATTTCATGCCTGGCAGAAGAGATGAATGGGCTGCAGAGTAGCAGAGCAGAAAGCTTCCCACAGTCATGAGACCATGACACGACAGAGGAATCCTCTTATACAAACCCCACTGGATGGGGAGATAACAAGTCTGACAGATGTACAACACTGCTGTCTGCACATTTCACAAAGAAGGACTGACCAACGCAAACAAAGCCCACTGGTATTTCATTCAGCCCTGAAATTGGAGTGAGCCAACTTCACCGGGCTTGGCTTGACTGTAAATCAAACTGAGCACCCTTTTGGGAAGCATCTGGGTCTCAGTGTACAGGCCAGTTTTCGATTTGTGAAGCAGAAGCACATTCTTACCGAAGTAGCATCTCTCCCCATGTCACTGCCATTTTTGCTGAGGTGTCAGAGAGTGCTCCACTGGCAAATGTTGTCCCTTGGCATTACGTGGTGAGTGCTGACAGCCTCCTCCACGTGCCAGGGGACATGGAAAGAGGAATGGTGCTCTCTGAAGCATCTCCAGGTTGGGTTCACGAAGGCTGTTGCGTGGGCCTGAGCACCCAGCTCCCACTGCGCTGCTCGTAACCCACCACAAATGTAACCCACCACAAATAGCCTGAGCTCCTCAGCAGAGCGCAGTACAGGGAGAGGGAAGCACAGGATTCACAAGCACAGACTAGCAAAGGTTATAATCCTGCATTATTTACTGCTAGGCCCGGAGCTGAGTGGCACCCCATTGACTGCATGCTGTGCACAGCACACTGCACCGATTCATTCTGCAGCACGGCGATTTGCATGTGAGCTGGCGATGGGCCAGATACATCCGTGTGCCAGATCAACAGGCCAGGGGATAGCCTTTGTTATCTCCAGTGCCGATGGCTTTGGGGAAAAAAAATATACAACAGCTTTCTTATCTATGAGGGTCCAGAAGGGCGACCAAAGAACAGACGCAAAACATAAAACAATGCATTGGGGAGCAGGAAACGAGGAGAGAAACTGTGAGCAGTGAAATAATATTTTCAGATTGGCATAAAGCAAATGGAGTCAGCAGGAGCCAACTTGGAAAGGCAGAGGGTTTGAGTGAAGCATCAGTGCCCAGGACTGACATGCAGAGAGATGGAGTGCCTAAATATCTTTCCTTCTCTTTCCTTATGTAATCTTGTCAGTGACTCCCCAACCTTTTCTTGGACACTCCTGCTATATCACCATGAAACAGGGTTCAAAATCTGGCATTACATAACATCGCATAGGTATAATACATTAAGTTGGCAGTATTTGCAGTGTTCCAAAGTGTCTAAGTAGTTTGCTATTCTTTCCTTTCTTTTGCTTACATGACTTAGGCTTGATTTCCTAAGCCATTATTCAGGCAAAATACCCTTGGAGCCCAGAGGATGGAGTGTTTAGGAGAGCTTACTTGAGCAGTGAGCCCCTAGGTTTTTCTGAGCTGGTGTCTGTTGAATTTGTCTCCATTCTGAGAATTGATTCTTACCAAATGACCAAACATCGGATTTGGTGCTATAGTTGCTGTAGGAGAAAACCTCTGGAGCAGACCACTTGACTGGAAACTTGGTACCCGTGGAGCTGGTATACTGATCGTCAAGGACAATCCTGGAGAAGGAAAAGGAAGGAGTGTGCTGAGTAACGCCCCCGTCCCATGACAGCCCTGCAGGGAGCGCGCGCAGCCTGGGTGGCATTACCTCGACATCCCGAAGTCGGACACTTTGACCACGTGGGATTCCCCCACCAGGCAGTTCCTAGCCGCCTGCAAGAAAAGAAGGTGCAAAGGCAGAAGGTTAGAGCTGAAAGACTGTCACAGCTACTCAGTTGCTTTTAGCCCGGCAGAGCAGATAGTGCTTTAAAAAAGGAGAATCAGAATGACATTGTACCATACAAAGAGGGTGAAAACTTGAGATTCTCATGCTTACTGTACATTTTACAGCTAGCATAGAGAATCATAGAATCATGGAGTTGTTTAGGTTGGAAAAGACCTTTAAGGTCATCAAGTCCAACTGTTAACCTAACGCTGCCATCCCACAACTGAACCATGTCCCTAAGCACCTCATCCGCCCAGCTTTTAAATGCCCCAGGGATGGGGACTGGACCACTTCCCTGGGCAGCCCCTTCCAGTGCCTGACAACCCTTTCTGTGAAGAAATTTTTCCTAATGTCTAACCTAAACCTGCCCTGGTGCAACTTCAGACCATGTCCCCTCGTCCTATCACTCATTACCAGGGAGAAGAGGCTGATCCCCACCTCCCTACAGCTTCCCTACCTTTCAGGCAGTTGTAGAGGGTGATAAGGTCTCCCCTCAGCCTCCTCTTCTCCAGACTAAACACCCCCAGCTCCCCCAGCCGCTCCTCGTAAACCTTGTGCTCCAGATCCCTCACCAGCTTTGTTTCTCTCCTCTGGACATGCTCCAGCAACACAACGTCTTTCCTGTAGTGAGGTTCTTAAAACTGAGCCCAGCATTCGAGGTGGGGCCTCACCAGCACCGAGTACAGGGGCACGATCACTGCCCTGCTCCTGCTGGCCGCACTATTCCTGATACAAGCCAGGATGCCATTGGCCTTCTTGGCCACCTGGGCACACTGCTGGCTCATATTCAGCTGGCTGTCAACCAGCATGTTCCTATTGCCAAGAAAGCTCTTCATCAGTCTGACTTGCAGGCCCTTGTGACCAGAAAGGGCAGAGCAAGCCCCTAAAATATCCATAGCTACCCACAGTCCTTGCTCCCCTAGCAAAGCAGTAGCAGTGACTCATGCAGATTGATTGAACGACACGTATTTAATAAAAGTATTTTATCAGCAATGCATGTTTTCGCATATGTTAAAACAGGTCTTCTTGTCATCTCCACTGGTTTTAGGCACGAAGAGTGGTCAGTCTCTGGGAACTGCGGGAGCCGGGGCTCTTCAGGAGCAAAAGAGTCCGCTCAGAAAAAGAGACAAACTTTATGTCCTCATTTCTTCTCAAACACAATTAAGGGAAATAGATTAATCAGCACTCCAGGGGATGATTTTTTTTCCCTAAAGTATTGATGCTGCTTCTGCAATAAGGGACAATACTGGATCCCCTGTCAACAGATAGGCAGGAGGAGTGTGAAAGCTGAAATTAAGGTAGGCAAAAAGCACAGGGAAAAGCCCAACTGGAGCAGAGGAAAAATCTGTCTGGGACCAACATACCAGATCTCTGTGGATGACAGAATTTTGTTCCAGATAAGCCATTCCTTCACACACATCTTGGCACATCCCCAGCAGGGTTTCCTTTGAAAAACTGCCCCGCTGGCTCCTGAGGTAGTCAGACAAGCAGCCGTTCTCCATGAACTCAAACACCAGGCAGATGGGAGTGTTCTCAAAGCACACACCATAAAGCTGGACTAGCTTGGGGTGAGACAGCTTCCTGTGGGATGGGGAGGGAAGGTGGAAAAAGAGGCTGAAATCTGTTCAATGCCTTCTATCCTTACAGCAAGGGTGTTATACATGGCCGCCTATGTCACCCTGCTGCACCCCTCTCTCTGCAAAGGCCGACTATGAAAGCAGAAAGAAGGAAATGTGTAGACCAAGTCTAACATCAAGTAGCACTAAGTATCATCCTATTTTAATGGTAATGGTCACCAAAAGACTTTTCTGCATGGAAAATCATCCAATCAAACAAACCGCCCCAATTTCTGTCTACTTTGAAGGGAGGGAAATGTAAAAAATACAAAGTCAATAAAACCAAGGAGAAATATTTTCAGTTGTGCAAAGCAGAAGAAATGCACAGGTAGGCTTTTTCAATAAAATTTCCCTCAAATTTTGTGAGATTTCTTTAGCTAATTATTTCTGACAAAAAATACTTTGCTCTCCCCAATATACCATCAATTAACCCTGCCTTTGCCTTCCAGAACAGCAGAGATCTGGAAGACCATTCTGGATATTGATAGACTCAGGAGCACAGTAATTCACTTACACTTTGAATTGCCTTCTTTTGTAACCACTGCAGCTCACCTGTCTCTCTCTATACTATTTGGATACTTATTAGATAATCCGAGTTTAAATTCCCCATTAATATTCCTGAACATTATCACAACACTTCGGTTCAGTCTTGTGAATCCTACAGGGTCTGATTGTCTTGGTGAATCTACTGCTTACATCAAGACTTTAGCTTCCTCGATGAAATCCTCTTCAGACATTGCTCCTTCACGAATGGTCTTTATGGCTACTTTCGTTTTTTCCAGCAAGTAGCCAAGGTAGACCACCCCAAACTGACCACTGCCAATCTCCTGGACACGGGTGAGCTCAGAGGGGTTAATGACCAATTTTCCTGTTGATTGTAAGGGAGAAAGAGTGAGAATCTAGCAATAAAATGTCAAACAAAAAGCTTTTGTGGGTTAAACTTTGAGATAGGACTCAGAGTGAGACTTTATGGCTCTCCCTCAAATTGTGTGACCTTTGATAGCTCATTTGACTAGTCCATGCTGCAGACCGTGTTCAAGAATAGGAACAACAGCCCCTTTCTTTCCCCATTTGTCTTGTCTATCCAGTTCTTCAGGGAGGATTGTTTCTATCATGCATATGTGCACTACCAAGCAAAACATGGTTTTGACTTTCTTTGATGTCTCCCAGAATTACAATAAAGATGATATCAGTAACTAATTCTGTAGACAACTATAAGCAAACAATCTTTCAGGAGGGACTCATCTTTCATCAAGTTATGCTATGCTTCCACTCCCATCACCTTTGCTCAGCATTCATTTCAGTATTCAGTGTTGACTTCTTTGAGACCCTGAGGCTCTCACCACCTCCCTCAAGGCTCTGCACCATCAGTTCATTCAGTTATCAACGGTAATGACAAAGATGATAATCCAGTGAATGGTGCAGTGTAAAGGTCTGAAGAAAGCTATTTATTGTGGTGATAGTCACATGAATATTCATCAATATCCACGGGGATACTGAGGATCACCCAGCTAACCAGCAAGGAGTGTGATTCCCATATGGTCAAGAGAGTAACCATACCGTAGCTCAGCCCTGCAGTGATCGGGGCCTTTTTTCTCCAAGAAGAGACTGCATACCGCAAACGAGTGACAAGACCTGAATAACAGAGGAAAAGATGGGTTCTAGTTATTGCCACAGTCATGGGAAGTTGTGGCTGTCACTACCCCAGAAGGGACTCTGGATACTGGAAGCAGATTTATTGTACTGAGTTGTCAGCTCCACTTGAGGGCAGCTGAACCTCTGTTCAGGCTGTGATTTCCTGCCCGCTAAAAGGAAGCCAATTCTCAGCAGTTTCAGCTTATTGCTCGCTTTCACTCTGTCAGCAAATGTGAGCTGTGAGTCTCTATTAAGTCTGAAAAAATTCCAAATCACACCTTTTATTTTTAGGGTGTTTTTGAAGCCCAGGATTTCCCTTGGTACTCCTGGACCGTAGGAATGGGAGTCTTTGGTGAATCCCATGTCTGGTTATGGATCCTGGCCATGTCCCTAACTTTGTATCTATCATCTCCTGGGCAAGAAGGCCCTGCAGTGTAATTCAAAGAGGTAGCTTGGTCTGGCAGTGGTGACACAGTCACCAGGACTCCCAGGAATGAAAGGGCTCTCTGTAGTATGTCATTACAGCATCTCTGTTGGTCATATCAGCCTTAGAAGGACTACAAAGAAGATGTAATGCTGGAAGCTGGCCCGAGATGGTCATTTTCCTGCCATCCAAGTGCAAGGTTAAGTGGAAGAAAAGAGATGCCGTTTAACATTTAATTGTAAGGACAGAGGGCTTGGGAGCCTTCCTTCATTCAAAACAGTCACCTGGCTGCATGGTAAAACAGCGACTTCCCTGGTCAGCATCAGCCTCTACTCACCTCCCGCATTGTGCTGGTGATAGTTGATGAGTTCAGGGATGCAGTCAAACACATGCTTTTCTGCCAAGTAATATCGCTTGGGAAAGTCAGTTGTCTCATTGATGTGATAATGCTTTATAACGGGATTGTTATCCGTGCTGAAAAAAGATGAGGTTTTCTTTGAGGGAAACGAGATTGCAGCAAAAAGACAAGAATTTGAGGAGTAAGTGGAAGAGGAACAAGCAAGCAAAGGGGAGAATCTTCCTTACGCAGAATGAATGGGAGAGGAGCAAGGAGTGAGCTGCAGTTGTTAATGAAAGCTGTGTGCTTGTATGTTCTCTGTCTCACTCATAGATGGTCTCATCTCTAGAAAGGTTGAGATTTCCCAATAAGAGCAGGTTGAGTACTAAGTTTCTCTGCCTATTCTTTCTGAAACGAAACTTTCTGCCCCATCACTGAAACCCTTTCACTAGTCTTGTATTACCCGCCTCTGGCGAGTCCAGCATACAGTCCATGTTGATCCTATCAACACTTCACCTAGGGGGACAATTTCATCAAAATTACAACGCAGTGATGTCTAAAGGACTCTTTATAGGCTATTTATATATATTATATATATTTAGATGCAGGGAGAAGTGGAGCCTTTAATACACTTTGCGAATGGCAGCTAACTCTTCTGTCTTTTTGGAATTGTTTTCCTCTATCATTTTCATGAGCCTTCTGCTCTCTCTTTATGATGCCAAACCAACTGAAGACATTACACTCTCACAGAAGCCATTTCATTGATGTAATTGATGCGAAAAGCTGCTGAGCTCAGCTGTACCTTAATGCTTTGGTGAAAACAGAGACTGTGTACATGCCAGGCTGCCTCGAATCTCTCACCATGAAGGCACCTTCCCTACCCTGTAACAGGAGCAAAGGAGAGAAAACTGGTTAGACGCGTAACGGAAAAAAAGAAGCGGACTGGGGGCAAAGCTCTGCTCGTTTCAGCCCTGTCTGCTGCTCAATCATGAGGATGTGCTAAACATGTAGGAAAAAACCCGAGCCATCAGCCAGCTGACAGAGCTTGGTCTGTTCCATGCATGGCTCTGATGGCTGTCCAGGGCCTGCAGGTACCCCCAGCTGGTCCCTCTTGGGTGCTGTATTTTTACCTCAGTTTCCTGAGGAAATGGGACTTATGCGCTCATACTAAGTACGTGTGGGTGTGGGTACACGAGCATGCGTCTCTCTGTCCCTCCAAGCCTCTCGTCTAGAAATTTTGAACCCATTGATTGCTTTCAACCCTATCTGACAGAATACTGGTGATATCAATTTCCAACAAGGTCAATGAAATGGGCAGCCAATTGGAAAGGCAAACCCCTTCAAGTGCCCTCCATTAAGAGAGCAGCTACAGAACAACAATACCATTTATTCAACACCAGAGACTCCATATGGGAGTGTACGAAAGATAATTTACCAGTGTGCCACAAACGGGAAGAGCTTGGGCAAGATCCTGCCCTTTCGTCCAGTGTCTAACCATAAATGTGTAGGAAAGCTGGCTTCCTCCACTCTGGCACTCACAGAATGATTTTACTCTTTAATTTTTCACTGTAATTGTTTTCTACTCAGCAGAGTGCTAAAATGTATCATAGGCCATGATCCTGCAGGGCCAAGCACTAATGGATCTGATGTCAGAGGAGAAGATTTAACATAACAGTTTGGACCTATGTATTGATAATAAAAAAACAATGCATTTTTCTTCTGTTTGCAGATAAAGATGCCTTTCATCTTGCATCCCATGTACCTTATTATTTTGTTCACTCCTTTGCTTTACATGGTAGATCTCCTCAATTGATGCAAACCTGATCCACCAAATGCACCCTGCCTCGGCCTCCCTCCCACCTCCCCAGGGGACTGATTCAGCTCCAGGTGAAGCCAGAGGCTGAGACTGCTTCTGTGTCCCCTGCTTTTATTTCCATAAAATACTATCATTGCAAGAAACAACACTTTATTCGGGTCTCCTGTTAGTGTAAGAGCTGATTTACAAACTAAGGCGGTGTTTGAGTAGAAAATTTGAACAAGAAGTATATTCTTTTTATTTTCACTACAGTTTTCACTGGAAAAGTCTGGCTCCACTGAAAAATTAAAGATGCGTGCTCACATGCACACACACAAAACTAAAAAAAACCACCCAAACCCGTACTCTTGGCTTTCACCCAAAATATTTCAGCACGAGATTGGTTAGGTTTTCAGAGAACTACTGGCATCCGCAGGCCTCCTGCAGAGACAGAAAAGAGGAGCTAAAATCACGGTTTTCAGTCGACGCAGTGTTCTGAAGCAGTGTTCTCCATCAGCCCCAGTTACTGGGTGTGTTTGACCGAAGCAGCATGGCACAGCTCTCTGCCCACGCTCAGCTGCCGCGGCGGTAAGGGGGGTTGCCAGTGGTCCTTTATCTTGCATCGCACACTAAGAGTGGCCAAGGACAGCAACGCAGCAGGACCCAAGGTTCAGCTTGCTCTTACATGAAACAGCCCTCGCAGGCTTCACCTCATTTGTCATTAATTAGTTATTATTGCCCATCTACCCCACAGGTAACACTGGTTTACCTCATCCTTGAGGAGTGTTTCTGCTTTGCTTCTGCTGATGTTCTTATTGTACCATCTGAAAACATAAAAGACTCCGAGTCAGCGTTTCTGCTCAAAAGCCTCTGAACTGAGTGTCCCCAGCACTGGCGACAACACATTATGTGGGGTAGGGACATTTGAGGATTTTAGCTTCTAAAACAAATCCAGGGCACTTAGAGGTACAAGAAAAACATAGGCACAACTTACTCATATATTTGCAGATTCTCGGGTGATTTTTCCACCAGGTAGCTACTTGGCACGTAGCCTTCATGCCTGTTAAAATGCGACACAGCATGAGTGCGCTAGACAGACAGGATTTTCTCTGCATCTGTGGGAGTCAGCCCCGAAAGACTTGCCTGCTCTTTGCATGATAGAAATGCTGGTTGTTATGTATTTAGTAGGGTTACTGAAGAAGGAAACAACTGATTGCACCTCTAAACTTGGAGAGTTTCACAATTTTCACAATTTTTTCCCCCACGTGTATGACAGTGAATATCAGCCCAAGCTAAGGACTGTTGATTTTTTTTTAATTAACTTTCAGATCCTTTTCCTTCAGCTGCCTGAATACAAGCAACATCAAAGGGAAGAAAGTTACTGAGAATAACCTTCCATCACTCTTTTCCTATATACCAGAGGATGCTTCACAAAAGTCATGCTGGGAGCCAGCATATATATTAATGGAACAACAAATTTGATATAGAAAGGATTTTTAAATTGGCTGTTGAAAAGAGACTTACCCATTCTTATCCTGAATCAGCCACCAATGCTCCTCAGAGCTGTCAATCACGTAATATTCCTCATTATATTGTAATGTCAGCTCCTGCGGATTCTGGGCTTCATAGTCATATATGGCCATGACTAAGGCTTCCTTTGGGTCTAGCAACAATTTCTGCACAAATTAGGAAAAAGGCTCATCATATTCATATTCATAAGTATTTCCCTGGCAGCACTGCTGTCCTCTGGGTTCAAAAGCCTCAAAGCTAGGAAAGCATCCCAGAGCATCCAGTGAGGTATGGGGGCAACAGGAGAATTTTCAGCACTTTCAAACAATGTATTTCATATAAAAAATTTATATGCAGAAAATAGTTGCACAGAAAATAGTTATCATCTACTCCTTCTTAGGGAGGATCACCTCTGTCTGATCTATTCTTCACAGATGTTTCCTAAACTCCTCTTAAAAGCCTCCAGTGATAAAATCTCTATTGCCTCCCTAGAGGGACTGTCCCAATGCTTTGCTGCCCTCCAGTAAGACACCTAGCCCTAGCAATCACCCTGCTTCTCCCTTCTTATGAAATAAGCCAATGGCATTTTGTCCCATCCACAAGTGGGTTTGGAAAATCACTTCTCTGTTCCTCTTCACAGCAGCTTTTCCCATATCCCTCCCACTTCCCCAGTGTCCCTTTCTATGGAGTAGAAAAAAAATACAGTTGAAGCTTCCCTCACCATTGGAAAGCTATTTGTGAAACCAAGCTGTCTTTGCAGGACTGAACCTAACTCTAGTGGGAGGCTGCTGATTTATAGTTTATGAAAAAATATGGAAAAGTTAATAGAATAGCCCAGGGAATGTTATCACAGGTGATATTCTGGGTCACTGCACCGTGGTGAACCTTAGTGAGGATATATTCACCACTGCTGGTTAAACACACGGGACACCAAGGACAGCTTAGCGTGCCTCACTGCACTCACCCAGTTATCCTCAGGAGTGGGAGGAAGAGGCTTCTTTGAGGCTGAAATGAAATCAAGAAAGTTAATTTGAAGTAGATCTGTACAAAACCGGGTGAGAAACCATCAAGGTAATGAATTAATAAAGGTGATACAAAACCAGTGAATAGCAAGCCTTGGTCTTTTAGAGCAAGACATACCACCAGCGTGCACCTACATAGTGACTCAGCCACGCAGCATGGGTTTGAAACTGGTGTAGAGATCACTTAAGGAATCACCCAGAGACACAGTAAAAGTGTTTTGCGTGAAGAATGATGGAATATGCTTTTTCAGGAGACAAAGTAAGGATTACACTTGGCCATTGAAACCAGAGAACAAATATGCTTAGGACAAAATAAGACACACAGGGTTGAATGAATGTAACTCAAGATTAAGTTGTTATCATAGCTTATTGGCTGACCATGGCTGATCAAGTTCTTAGTTCTCCATCTCATTCCAAAGACAGCATCAAGGATCACACAGAGGAAAATATTAATTCAAACCAAAGAATACAGTAACAGACAAGCCAGAATAAGGAATATCCCAAGAAGCCAGCAACATGTCTCTTTATGGAAATGCAACACAGTATTCTTTGGTGTTCTGTATGAGACAGATTTGATCCTTTACTTTTGCTAGGAATAAATATTTTCAAGGTCAGGATGGTGTTAACAAATCCCATACCATTTTTGGTGGGGTCATACTCCACGCAGCCAGCTGCCATCTTCTCTGTCTGAGCACAGCATCTCCACTTGCCATCTATCCAAAAATCTGGATGACACTTTGCAACCAGACTGTTGTTGTTTCTGGTTTCTGAAAAATGTTAGGGGAAGAAAAAGGAGGGGGAAAATGAATTTATTTGCATTCACTTCAGCTCTGAAAGACATCTAGAACTGAATGGAAATAATCTGCACTTTAAAGAAGCTTCTTATTCTTGTCAAACCAAGCTTTGGTGAGCATTATCAGCTGCCTCCATGAATGTTTTCCTTTCTCCTGAAAGGAGAGAATGCCACAACTGATGTGGAGGAGTAGCCTTCCTGCTGGTGATGGAGCCCATACCTCTCTACTGCGGGAGAACAGAATCCTGCCAAAGGGACTCTCTTTTCAAACCGATAAATACCAAAACCACAGAAGGAAGGACTCATAAGAGAAAGAAAACCTGGCAGGGCATATATTGATGATTCCCATGAAAGACTACAGCTCTACAGTACGTATATAGGTAGGACACAGACGCTTGCTGCTTTGGCTTGGTGTTTAGAAGCAGCTGTACAAGCTGGCATTCACCAGCACTAAACATTTTTTGCACATGTAAATACCATCTTGAATGTCCGCATGAGTGATTAAAGGTCCTTCTTTTTGAAGCTCAGGCTCCATATCTGTAATAATAATTTTCCTAAAAAGAACAAAAAAATTTCTGCTGGCCTGTTTCAAGAGACTATTCAAATTGTCCAAGGGAGGGGACAGTCTCAAAATGTTGAATGAGAAGAGGTGGTAAAGTAGAAGCTTGGAGCAGGTGCACTCCACAAGGGGAATAACTGGTTGCAAGAGTAAGTGCACGAACTTACTAATATCTCCATCAGGCACAATGTTTTCAGAGTGAACAACACAGCAGGCTGTGTTATACAGCAGGAAAAAGCTAGGACGGAAGCCTTGTGCAATTTTAATGTAACCAAGTAACACCTTCCTTACGTGAAGCATTGTGCTTCGTTTCTGCCTGCAGTGGTTAGTTACTGTGCCTTCACTTCAGAACCATTGCAGCGAACCACAGCACCATTCAGGAGGAGAACAGGAAATGAAAGCTGCCCACAAAAATGTTTCTTAATAATCACGATTCTCTAAGGAGGTTGTCATCTAAACAAAAAAGCTATTAATAAGAGCTGAAAATCTTCTACCCAGAAAAGATTAATGTCTAAAAAAATTAGCCATATAAAAATCCTCATTCCTTCTTGAATAAGAAACCTCAAATTCCAGTAACAAATTAACAGTTTATCCTAGAAAGAGGCAAATAAAGCATTCCATGTCCAAATTTTTCACTGCTGCTGAAAACACAGCCACCAAACTTACAAGCAATTTGATTTTATAACCTCATTCCCCGTTACCACTTTGCATGCTTAGATATAAGACATCGACTCCTCTTGCACATTTTCTCTGCATTACAGCTTGTGAGAAAATTGGCTGGGATAAGTAACTTCAACAGTTAGGTGGGCACAGGGGTTTTATTACCTTCCTTCAGCGTAAAGACCCATCTCTGCCGGCTCTCGCGATTGGGAGCAAACACGTAGAGTATGTAGTTGTCGTGGACGATCTGGAGAGGGGAGTGAAGGCAGCAGCCATTAGAGACAATCCCAGATACCCTGGGCATGAAGGAATCCCTGGAGGAAACAGATAGCAGCCCCCATACCAACAAATCACATACCAAATGCTGGTGTGGGAAAGTAGAATAACAGGGCCTGTTTGGAAGCATCTCTTAACCTCACTGACTTTTGATTATTTAAAAGGGAGTAGAAGCCCTGATCAAGAAAGCATTCTAGACAAGCAATGTTTTAGATCAATTTTATGCTGTTAAGAAATGTCCATGAAATCAATGGAATTTCATTTCACACAGCAATTTCAACCTGCAGAGGATTCAGCCCATTACTCACTGACTGCAGTTTATTCTTCTAAAGCATCTCTGGGGAAATGACATCTGTTTCTTAGCAGTGTCTTGTAAGATACCTTAACTTAAGATCTAAGAGCCAAATTTAGCTTTTCTTTTGTCAGTATAAATCTCAAGCAACTCCCCGGAGATTCGTTGGACTACTGTTATTCTTCAAAGTTTTTAATAGCTTTCACTGGGATTATAGAGGGGAAATAAGGAGCTGGAGCAGGCGAACAATGAGCAGTCAAGATGCTCTTTTCATCAACTTGGCCTTAATGATGAACAAACGAAGGAAGAGAAATACAGAACTTTTGTGAAGTTTCAGACCAGGGAGTAAAATCATCACAAGAACCAGAATGACTCAGAAACTGAATTGGATGACTACATTCGGGCCTAAAATTTGATGTAACGCATAATCTATGCTAGTCTTCCAATATTTATCTCAGCAATTTAATTCCAAATGGGACCTGGTCTCTTTGATGCACAGATGCTTCGAAAAACTGTCTTTAAACAGAGGAGTGCATCTGGTTTTTAAAGTTTCTTCAGGGGTGTAGGTGAGGCAGTGTTGAATATCTTTTAAAGAACAGGAAACATTTGCTATCTCTTGGCCTGAAGCCCTTGCAGGCACACACACAGAGCTGTGTGACTCAGTTGCTTTGCATGCTATGGAGAGAGAAATTAAAACCTCTTTCACAAAAAACAGAAATAGGGGAGGAATAATTCCCACTCATTTAAAGCCACTCGTGTTGATATTATTGGTATGTCTGTATAGTGTTTTGACAATCTCAGGCAGATTTTGAAATATGCAGTAAGCAGATCTCCGAAAGATGTAGCTGTGAGCGTGCACAACTGCACAAAATCACTCATTTCATGCCTCTCTGCGAGAGGCTCACTTGCCAGATGAGCCACACAAAACCAAAAAGCCACTGGTGGTTCCACAGAAGATTTATAGATGGGTGCAGCCGACATATTTTTTAAAAAACTCAGACAATATAATTTTACAAAATACCACAAAATTGACTGTGGGACAAAATTCAGATGTGCTACAAGCAGGAGCGATTACCACGACCTCAGTGGAGCACTGTCCATCCTGACTGGTCCACTGTTACCATTCCACCTGTAGTGGCCACTACCTTCACTTTATTTTGTTGTTCCTACGAGCGTTGGAGGTATGGAGTTAGAGACTTGAAAATTCAGACTGAAACCAAACAGATCTGAGCATTTGTTCCTTCCCTAGTCCATGTTCACTCAAGTTAAGAGCAGCTGAGGTTCCCCCATCAGGCCTTCCCCCAGCCAGGCAGCTCCTACCCAGCCCCAGCTGAGAGCTTCCCTGTCGGGCTGCTCATCGAAAGCCATTTGCAGTGTACGACAGCATCTTCTGCTGCTCCCAAACGCCTATAAACAAGGCCGTAACAGTCTGATTATCTGTTTTCTTGAGTGCTCATTATGCACCAACTTAGCAACATTTTGTAATATTCCAGGATGACTCTTATGATCCTGGCTGGGGACCACCCCACACCGGAGGGTTTCCTGACCCAGCCTTGTTTGGGAAATTATTTCCTCTCCCTTCTCGTATCTCTGCAAGGCAACATTTTCCAGGGCTCAGATTAGAGCGTGGTGGATATGCACTTGTACTGTTTAAATGAAGATTTAGAGAAAACTCTACAAGCTACGTCATGATTTGTAAGAATGACAGTACCCAGCCAAGCTTCCATACTGGTGTTGGTTTTGAGATAACAAGGATGGTAAAAAAAGAAATCTTGCTTTATGGGTGTCACTTTTCTTTTTATGAAGTTATGTATCTTTTTTAACATTTATGGTGTACATGGGTCACAATCATTAGCCTTTATCTGCAAATCTGAGTTCAGAGAATTCACTCTTTTAAAGCCAACTGTGAACAGAGAAGGCCCTGTATTCGCCGAAATCCATACACCGTAATTATTAAGAAAAATACTGTCACCAATATGACAAAATTCTGATAAATGGCAGCACAGGGAATAACATAATAAACTGGGAATTTGTGTTGCAATAACTGAGCAAATATTCCGTGGTATTTATGTTTACATGGCAATGTAAATGAAGCCCATATGTGTTAACAATTAACACTAGACAATGCTTTCCTCATCCTAGAGCTAACACTGTCCGTCTCTTGGTCGTTAAGCCATCTCATCACTAGAACCCCTCTCATTTCTTGTCTGACATAGTCTGCCTAACACATTACATTCACCCTGATGTTTCTGATGCAAAGGCCACAGTTTCAGCATCACACAGGTAAATTGGCCAAAACCCTGGGCGTATTCCCCGTGTGAAAGATGGGCTTTCTCTGAACATGAGTGAGTGGGCGAGCCGAATACGGTCTCAAACATGGGGTAGGATGAGAAGGTCTAACGATCCTTTCCAATTTAAAATGAATGAGTGTAAGAGTTTATGGATCTTGTAATAACACCGGCTCTCTGATTCCTCAGTTCATTTCAAACCTTGATCTGCTTTTTCTTCCTTTGTTGTTGTTCACCTTGGTGTTGGGTTCGTTAATGACTGCACTGTGAGGGAGAATTTTATTGAAATACAAAATGAAGTGCTACCTCTATCAGGATGGTCCATGGACTCACCTGGAAAGGATATTTATACTGACAGGGAATGATGATGTCACTTTTCACAATTTCCACACATTTAATCCTGGAAAGTTCCACAGAACCCTTCAAAGTCCTTTTTTTCTGAAAGACAGAGAAAAGCACATGGTTAATGCTAATGATTAAGTGAATAATTAGACAAGACTGTCATGCCCACAGGACATTTAATTTTAATGGAGCAGATGCAAATTAACTGATTATGTAAGACATTTAAAGGTATAAAGACACATAAAGGTATAAAATCATTCTTACATATGGCACCTCTATATGAATTGCACATACACATACATATATGCACACACACATATTTCAACTCAGCACATGGATTCTTAGAGAACCAGTCAAAACCTTTGGTTGACATTTAGGTTTTATTTTTTCTTCCAACAAAATGAAATGTCTTTTTAACCAAAAGGGACTATGTACATGAAATGTTCAGTTTACTAACTAATTTTAAAAAATATTTGCATACTGAGAATTTCAAAACTAAGCAGTTTATCTAAAATGTAACATTTTTACTGCATCTGTTTTCCAAGAAACAAAACACTTCTCTGTTTTTGTTCTGTCTGGGTTTTTAGCTAAGAAAAAATAACAGGAAATTTTGTAAGAAATAATACCCTCAAAAACTTGCCGACAAATCTATTTTTCTGGCAGCCTCTGCTGCATTACTATTCATCATATGCCAGATACCTAGATAACAGTATGGGCAGTTAGGAAAGGGTAAGAAAAGAACAGACATCCAAGTATCCCGACTCCCTTGCTGTGCCCTATTTCCCACTGAATCCTCGCCCCATAGCCCCTTGGCATGTGGCACACAGCTTTTGCAAGAGCGGGGCGAGGTGGATGCCGGCATGCGGCAGGCAGGAGCTGAGCTAAGGCTTGGTATCTGGTGCAAGCTTCTGAAGGATTCGCTACAAATGCGTTTGCTCTTCGGAGGCAAACTGGTTTCCTGTTTTGATTCATTTTCAGTAGGGATTAAATACTAGCTGTCTCCCAGCTCAGCTTTGCGACAACGTGACGGAAATCAGTGAGATTTAAGAACGCCAAAAACACTGCAAAAGCTTCTGTTTTTCAAACACAGGCAACTGTCAATGGGAGAGAGCATGAACTTCAGCGACTGTGTTGTACCTGTCACAGGTTGTCATTCAGAGACACAGCAAGACTTCAGCAACTTCCTTGCCCTCCCTTGGACCCCTAACCCAACCTTTTGTGCCCTTCACCCTCCAGCTCCCTCTCGCCCCTTGCTCCCCACGTCACCCTGACCCTGCAGCTCTGCCCTGCTTGCAGCGGCCATCACCAGGGCAGGACGCCTGCCCCTCTGCACGGCGCCTCCGTGCCGACCCTCGCTGCTTCTCTGTTGCTACCTTCCATCAGTAAATTTAGCCTAAAACAGGGAAGCAGCTGATGCCACTGGGGATGGAGTGAGGTTTGCCACAGTGGCCCATCAAACAGAAAGGCCCCAAGGCTCCACTGGCTGGGTACTTTGCCTTTGTATACTTGGACTTGAGGAAAAAGAGGGAAATTATTACAGTGAGGTCTCACATTGATCTTGCAGAACTTTGCTGGTATAATTGGGTTTTGTATTTGTATTTGCTTGCAGTTCAACCGTTGCCTCTGGATTTACTGCCAGCGCCATCTCCTGTAAACAGCGTCTGCCTACATAGCTCCATGGGGTGGAGTGGGATTTTTTTGTATCAATAAACCCAAATCCATAAAGCACCCCTAAATGTAAATACCAATTAACTATCAAGAGTATTGCCAAGCCTTAGAAGGCTTTACCGCACCCCATTTTCACCATGCATTTTCTTTCATTCTTGTCTATTCACTTTTTTTCCAGACTTGGCTTCCTTTGTCTCCACAACCTCCTCTATCATTGGTTCTGCCCCTGGGACTTCTACCCCTTCCATGAGACACAAAGCCATTTATTTCCTATAAAACCCTTCAATTTTGCTAGCATTGAACCCTCCTTCATCTTATTCCTTTGAAGTCCCAGGGCTTAACCACATGCAGTCCTCCTCTGAGGCTGTGCCAGCCACATGCTCTTGCTTTTTCACTGCAGACTGTTTTTTGGTGATACCTTTCCAGACTTTGGTGGAAGACAGAGTCCAGCCTTCTCAAGAAACTTCGTGCACTTGTTCTGCAGCTCTCATCACCTACTGTGTTCCTTTTAATCATGTATTTTCAGCAACAGAAGCTCCCCATAATCTCACATTGCCATGCCATGTCCGGGTGCGTCTTGCAGCCGGTGCATTGCCCAGCAGATCCTCAGCTGATGGGACTTTGCTGATAGAAAGCAATTACAGCCCCGTAGCAGCACGGACAACTGGAATTACTGCTCACAAACCAGGCATTACCCAGAAACTGGGCTGGAAGCTAATCATATCCCTGCTTTTGTGATGCCTGTCTGCACTTTAATCCAACAAAAGCAACTGGGCCATTTGGAAGGGAGTGGAGAGGAAAAGCCTCTTAAAAATGGTCTCCAAAAACCTCAGAGACTTGTTCCTAAAAAGGGCTAGACAAAACATGCTGACAGATCTCCATTTGTTGTTTTCAGTCTGCCCGGAGTATAATTAAATAGATGTTTTAGCTGGTTGGTCAGAAAAAACATCAGTGGTCTTACTGTGTAATGCGTGTGGAAAGATAACCAAGGCATGCTGCTGTCCCACAAGGAGAAGTACAGTGTGCTGCAGATCGGTCCGTCCTGGCTTATTTCTTTTGGTCTGTTATTTGCAATATGGTGATTCCAGGAAGGGGAGCCAACAGCTCTGAATGGAGCCAGGGGCATCACAAGCCCAACGCATTACAGGATTCGTCTTTGGTACTTCACCTCCTCTTGCCACACAGCTCCAGCAGCTCTTTCACTGCTTAGTCCTTTAGTTTGTGTCCACTGCATACCCTAGGTGACCACAGTGGTCCCTGTTTGCCTTCAATACTAGGACTGTGGTACAATCAGCATAGCCCTGACCTGCAACACACAAGGCATGTTGCCATGCTTGCTTGGGGAATGAGCCACCTGGCATTTGTCACGTGCCAAGACTTACACAACCACCAACACTGCTACTCACCCACACCACAGCAGCTTGGCCATCCAACCAAATGAATCACTTTTCACCAGCTCATGGTTTGGGGCAGGGGCAAGGGTGGGGATGTGGAGCCTGTGGCAGGAGCTTCAGTGAGCCATTGGTGACCGTTGCAGGTGACACAAATCCGCTCCATGAGCACATTTCCTGACCATGGCTCTGCACCCCCAGGTTTCATGAATGTCTAAGATCTTGTAAGATATGGGACTGTGCAGTCTCAGGAATTGGCTACTTTCTGGCTAACACTTTGCTGTTGCTCTTTGTGAAGCCCATTCATTAAAAGCACTGCACCAAGCATTTAGGCTGAAGGTCCCTTGGTGGATGCTTAAAGGTTTTGCCGAACCCCACTGCATTTACCAAAGGGCCTTGGCAAAAAAAGTGGCCACTGGTGCTGGAAGCAGAGGGAGGGGAGGGAGGCCAAATGCTAGGGAGAGGTAAGGCAGGGGTGGGCAGAGCCTGATCTCACGCAGCACGGGAAGAGGGAGCAGGCAGCGTTTTCTGGCAGGCAGAAAGGCAGCATGCTCATGTTTCATAAAGCCAGCTTGGTTCCAAAGTTGTATAAGGGATTGTATCTTGTTTCTTTTGTGCTGGTGAGGGGAAAACCAAGAAATTAAGATTCATGAGGCCCCAAACTCCTTGGCAGTGATCACTACCAAGGGCTCTCCATGCTGCAGCTGGGTTTTCCTTGCTCTGTGTCACTGGGTGTTTGTGTTCACCTCTATCTCCCCGTACCTCATCCCCGTCGCCTGTGCGTTCCTTCCTTTGCAATGCCGGCTGCTCCTCCCAGCCCAGCCAGGCACCTCACAGCAGAAAGGGGTACGGCCCCCTCTGTAGCCCTGCTGCGTCCCCCTTTGGATACAGGAGCCTTTCCTCCTGCCACAAGGTCCGTCCATGAGCCCATGTTTGCCTGCTGCTCCCCAGCAAAGGCCCAGTTGCAGCTGGACATTTTCCCCCAGTAGGAGGGTAGGGGAAAGCTAATTTACAGCTGCAGTGGAGTGAGGTAGGAAATTCCAGTCCTCCGTAAGCTCAACCGCAAAAACATTTCCGCCAATAAGAGCATTTAATGACCTTCTCTGTAGCATCAGGGTTTTTTTTGTAAGAATCTGAGCCAAACTCCATTCCCTGTTCTCACTTACCATCTCGACTAGAAGGAACCATTCTTAATTGGTGATTCAGTATGTGAGGGGTCTTTGCTTGGCCCTTGGCTGATTTTGGGGTTTCATACTCTGTGCATTTGAGGTGGTGAAACCAAACCAGGTGGTTTTTTTCATTGCTATAGACAGTCCCTCAGCAACAGGCTGGGGGGGTGGTGGTGGTGGTGGTAAGCAAAAGCTTTGACTTCTGCAGGCCACCAGAATAAAGTGTATATAAGTGTGAAGAGAGGCTTGCGCACACATTGAAGTATTTTTAGAGTGTCAATGGGAGACTGATGTGCTGGTGATAGCAGACCATTCAAGAACCACGGCAAGCACTGGCCTTAAGACGACTAACATACCTCTGCAGGGGACTTATAATCGCACAGTGAACGCCCCCTAGGCCCCCGTCCACAGCTCTTACTGGTGATGCGGTAACTGCACACAGTAACGACAACTTAGCAGTAACAATAATACACCTTAACCATATCATACTCCTGTCACCTGTAGCTTTATCCTGCTGGTTTCTGAACTGTGGTACATGTGCACCCTGGCGTGCTGGAGGGGTCAAAATGGGCTCAGGAGAGGGCATGAGCTAGTTTCAGGGAGCAGAAGCAATGCAGCTGCCCTGGGGAAGTGCTTGAATGCTGGCAGAACATCACATGTGACTTTATAATAGGGCTTTTTCATGAAAATCAATTCCCTTTCTAAAACTTGGAAATACAGCGCTCGGCTTCCATCTGTGTTGCTGTCCTTTTGCTGCACTTCCATATAGTAAAGTGGATTTACTGAACTTAAGTGCTGTAAATTCAACCTGGGATCTTCACACTTTTTTCCCCTTAGTGTACTTTCTGGCCCTGCCATGAAGACTCTA